GCTTTTTTCTTATAACTTTTGAACCTAAAAAGCTGATGTTTTGTTTTCTCAAAAAGTGGCTTCCGCGGACTTTTAAAAGGGCAGGAAAGCCTGGATCTTTTTCACAGAGTCAAATCATTTTTGACCGTCGACAATTTCAGTCCAAGGTTAGCTTTAAAATTTTACATTTGGATTTAGCGAGGGCAAATGTCAGCTTTTGAAACTCTTTTAAAATGCTTTTGTCTTTCGAAAAATCAGGGATACTGCGGTAAAATCATTAATCTACCATCAAACGCCGCCGCCATTATCCCTATTGCTCACAAGCTGTTGCCTTCGGGCCCAAATCGCAGTGCCGTTCCCACGCCGAACAATACCCAACCATAACTGTGAATCTTCTCCGTCGGCCCGTCCCACAAACGCCATCTGGCGAAATGTCACACTTGTTGTTGATCGATCAACTCGCCCCGAATTCTATAAAGAGCCCTCACCCGATTAGCCAAACCCATCTAAAGACGCCGACCCATTGTTATCTATATCTAAACAAAGGCAGGTGGGAAAAATCTAGGCTCGATAGGGCGTTCGCTCCCGGGATTAACGCGGAATCGGGAATTGCCCGAAGGCATGTCGGGCATTTTAATCGTCTTTGCGCGTTATAAGAAGTGAAAGGGGGCCGCCAGGAAGATTTGGCGGAACATATCGGTGGCATATCCGGGGTGAAAGGGCCTAAGGCAAAACGAGATCCGCACCTCGTTTGCCATTGCGTGAGGCTGGTTCTTCTCTTCTTATTCTTCTTCTTATTTTTTCAATTTGTTTTCTGACGCTTCATGATCGTTGAGAACCCTTACAATATTTGAATACCACATCCATATCCACTAGAAAAATGAACCACAAATAATTACGCGCAATTACCATGACGGTATGGTTGCTGGGTGGGGGGTAGCTAGGCAGCGAGCCCAGAACTTGTGAATTGGCCCGTTGGGGCAGAACAAACACGACCCGGGTTGTTGTTTAGCCGTAATTAGCTATGGTGGAGGTCATTCCGTGGGGTATTTGATGATGCCTAGGAAAATCTGTGCTGGCATGCGACTGGGTTTAAACAACGGAAGAGAAAATGGTACCTTACACAGTCGTCGGGTGTGAAAAAAAGTTATGCCAATTTTTGCCGCTTTCAGCTTTTTTAAAACGTCTAGGAAGCGTGAGAATTGAACCCCATGCCGACTAGGTTTCGACAAATACGAGGAACGCCAAAATACGTTAGAAAATGCTATGATTCTGAGTCGATCACAAGGTTTTTACGCTCATCAAACTTGGCTTTAGCGTTTTTCTAAAATTTTATGAGATTTGTCGAGAACTAGTCGATAAGAGAGGTAGATTCAAGTTGGTAAAATTCGCTTAAGAGCATCCATTGCTTCAAAAATCCGCAAAAACCGCGAAAAAATTAGATTTTTCAATCTTTTTCAGCGTTCCATTTTTATACAAAAATTCAAAAAACCCAAAAACCCAAAAAAGCAGACTTTCCGGTCCCCTTAAACCGATATCTAACTGGATAAAAATCCAAAGATCCACAAAAACGCGAAAAATCGCCTTCAGGGCCTCGAGAAACCGTGCAGCCCTATAAAATGCTACTAATCACAAGCCGCCGATTCCCCCTGATTTTCCGAAGCGTGCCGACGCTTCAAAGCACCCTTTTCCAGCCGGCTTATCGGCCTATTCCGGCCTGCCCATCTAGAGGCATCTAGACCCCAGGGTACCAATCCCTTCCACCTAGTGGCTATGTTTGTGCCCTGAGGGCATGTGTTTGTGGAAGAGTCCGTCCCCCTCCTCTTCCTTTGCATCTCCCTGGGTCATATCAATTCCGTTCCAAACGTTTGAAGCGTGCCGCGCGGCTCAGAGAAGCGCTGGCCCGCCGGCTGGCTGCGGGGCATCATTTCGCCAAATATTCAGATTTCTCCGGGTGGTTGTTGCGTTTTATTGACTTGTGGGATTAATAAAATTGTCTGCGCTACGGGGAGTCGGTGAATTTGGAGAAATTTGCATTTTCTGTTAGCTATCTCGCTTTTTGCGTTAAGATCTGTAATATCGTGCGATACTTCTTTGAATTTTTATTTTTCTTTACCAGCGCCCAAAACCCGCTTCGCGGGCCTTGGGCGCTGGAATGGTGCGTTTGCATGAGAAATTTGACTTTCCGGTAGCTGGGGTCCTTCGGACCCCCCCCCACCGCGCGTGCAACTCGGAAGAATGGGAATTTGTATTTTTTCACATTATGCAAATTACCCCCAAAAATGAATAAAACCGGCTTTAACTTTGTAAACTTGTATTTTATCGAAATTCTGAGCACGCCATCGGAAACAGAAGAGTCGATTACCCCAAGTGACGAAGAATTAGGACATTTTATGCACGGGAAGGCCCTCAAATCGGGTCTCGAAAGTGACATCCACACACACACACACCCAGTTACACGCCAAAATTATATAAGGTAGGATTTTAGATGGAATATTTATGTTTTAACATAACATAAACCATAAATTATGCTAATTTAAATCGCGTAAAGGTTCGCGTTTTCTAGACGTCAATTCTAAAAAAGCTATTGTATCTGGTATGTAAATTCGGATTTAATAAAATTTTCGGTTAAAAACCGCTTTAAAAAATGCGAGAGGAGTTGAACACTTATAAAATTGACTCATTCTTTAAATCGGCTTAAAATTAATAAATCGCATATTCCCGAAAAAGAGAACCCAGCAGAAAATGTTTAGCATGCAAATTTTGTGATTTTCACGTTATTCTCGCTAGTTTAAGATCTAGAACCGGCCGAGATTTGCTGTTTTTCATCATTTCACCCCAAAAAAATGAGAAATTGCCTTTTCCCGCCGCTGCGTTGCACCTGCTTCTCACAGCGGGAATCTCCCGCCTCCAGGCGCCCTCTCGTCGAATTTTATGCCCAAAATTACCCATGAATTTTTTGAGGTGTTGGCAATGAGGGCCAGCTGTCAGTGTCAGGCTCCCCATTCCTCTGCCAACATTTACTGCCCAATTCTTTCTTTCTCTATGTGTCTTGGGTAGGGGGAAGTTGACCTCCCGGGGTGGTGCTCACCCCTCAGCGTCTTGCTCGAAATGGCCCTCGCACCTGTTCTCATGTCAGTGCCCAAAACACCCGGATGCATAGGTATTTGGTTAAACGTCGGCTTTCGAAATTTTAACCAAATTTTATTTGAAATTCCGGTTTTTAAGACAAACTTCCAGAACCTTTGATTGTTGTGAGAAAAGCACGTGATTTTACTTGTAGAGAATAGAATTTTTTTGCTTCTCTTAAAGGTTTTTTGCTCCCAGATCTCAGCTCCCACAGGCTGGAGTGTCGCAAAAATATAAAATATGGATTTTTCATAAAATGTGTTAAACCCTATGATGGATTTTGTTGAATTTTCTACATATTTTGCTAGAAGCCCCCAGGTCCCGCTTCCACTTCCGGAAAAGTTGTTTTAGGTTTTTTTGCTCCCAGCTCTCACAAAACCCAAATTTTCCATTTTCTTGGTTGCTACCATTTATTGTTAGTTCCTTATTAAAGCCGCTTCCTTAGATTTTTTGCCTTATGAGATTCCACTGACTCCCAATCCCTTTTTCCAATTCCCCAATTTTTGCCAGCTTTATTTTTCAGACTTCCCAGAAAAAGTATCTTTTTCCTGGTTTGACCTCAGGCGCGTATTTAGCGTCACTGTAATTTCCTATGCGCCCATCCTCCCTCCAACCCTAATAAGCCATGCCTTTGGCACTGCCCGATCATGATCCGCCCTCCCCGGTGTCTCTAGTCCCAGCTTATACCCTCGGCTTACCCCCCCTTCCCCCCCGCGCCAAGCTTTTGAAGCCACCGCCCTGTGCGCGAAACGCTAATGAATAGCTGGCGGGGGGCACAACGGGGTGGCTTTCCTTGCCTATACCTTTAATTACAGGGTCGGGGTGAAGCACTTATAAGGTGGGCCACTCACCTGGGGCCTTTAAGGCCCGGGAATTGGGCAATAGTCTGGGTTATAAAGGGGCGCCAAGGAACCGCTGGGGGTGGAATGGGTGGGGTTAAATTATGGGGTTTAAGGGTCGCGTTAAGGAGAAGCCGTTCGACTTTCGGGCTTACTGATGGCTTAAGCTTATGGGGGTCATTTAGGGGGCTTTAAAAAGGTATTTCTCTCTCGCTCTCTCTCTCTTTTTCTCTCTCTCTCTCTCTCTCTCGCTGTCTCTCGCTATGTCTATCTCTCTAGCGCGCGCTCTCTCTCTCTCTCTTTTTCTCTCTATCTATTTCTACTTCTCTATCGCTCTCTCTCTCTTGTGCCTCTCTCTCCCTCTCTCTCCATCTCTCTCGACGGCAAGACTAATTTTAGAGCAAAAATACATGACGATTCTGATGGCCATACTGCACCGATAACTCCTCAAAATTTCCAACTTCTGGCCCCACTACACCCACTCCTAATTACGCATCCCCCCATGTTTGCCAATGTCCTCAAGCACCTCGACTTCAAGTTGATAATTCGCAGCATACGGGGAGAATAATTGGGCCCAGCAGCGCTGAAGAGGGCCCTTTTTCTCGTCCTTCACACCTAATCGTAGCCCGAGGGCACGGCCAGGGTCATCGCAGCCCCGCCCCCCAGTCGCGGATATGGCTAACCCGGGGGTGGAGCCACCCCCTTTGGGATGGTCGTTCTGATTTTTATGATGGCTGTCAGCATTTGCATACCGGCTTGGTGGATTTGTATTTATTTTGGATTATTATTTAGAAATTTAAAAAATGTAGATGAATTGGTTTGAAGTTTCTCGCAGTTTCTTTAGCTCTATCTCCGCCCCTCTTTCGCTCTCTCTCTCTCTCTCTCTCTCTCTCTCCTCGTATGACTTCCATGTTTGCCGAATTTTCTTATTTACTTTCCAATGCAATTTTTTGGTCGTACCTTCCGGATAAAAATTGCCGTCTTCTGCGAACAGTCGAATTTTTCCATGTGCTACGTTATTTTCAGTACTATTTTCTGAACGACACCTTTCAGATGAGACCCAACAGAATACTCCTCCTCACGACAATATTCCTATCCCCCGCCCTGGCAGAGCCATTCTGGCTGTCCATCGAGCTGACTCGAGTCGACTGGCGGGATGGATGCTTGACGACGGGCGGATGCTCTCAGCCCCGGTTTCAGGTAAAAACTAAGAAAGGCAAGCACCGTGAAGTATCACAGGCCAAAAATTTTTATTGTATCGTATGGAGCGCCTAAAACTGTATAAAATCGTTTTTAGATCCTCGCCGATTTACTACCAGTTTCCGAAAAGATGTCCATTTCTTGGCCGGTCAGCGAGCACTTTGTGCAGGTTTGTTATTTGTAATTTTTGATTATTCTATAAGTTAATGAGGATAAATCAGGTTAATTTTAATCACGATTTTTATAGTATTTTAAACTTTGCGGCGGTTTTTAAAACGTTTTCCGTTTTTTTAACAAATCTCGGTTTTTGGCCTGGTTATAACAAAATTCATAAATCTTTTTGGTAGAATTTTGTTTATATTTGTCGTTATTTCAAGTTGAGAAAATTGAGAACTAAAAGCGCGAATAGGATTTATTTTGAGATTTTAATATATTTTTTTTGGTAATTTTTGGCGGGGAAATACTCGGTTTTGGTTTTTTAAAGACCCTTAAAACGTTGCGCATCTCTCTATTTTCTTTTCTACCCTCTAATCTTCTCCACCTTCACACCCCGTTCCCAAAACCATAACCGACGCAACCCAAATACCCTCCCATCGACACCCTTGATATAACCGGCTAATCGGGGTGCCAACGCCCTAAATCTCTGAACCCTAATTATCGGAGGCCCGCGCAAAAAGGATGGCACGGAGCGTTGCGTAGTCGAGATTTGTCGGGATTTGATTTCAAAGGATGATGCCGACCAGGCCACTCAATCCACTCCCCGAAAAGACTGTTGCGCAACGCATCCAATGGTCTCTACTGGTCCCCTCTTTTTGGCCCCTGGGTCGTCGCGTGGGTACTTGTGCTGTAATTTGTCTCTCGAGCACCGAAAACATCTCGGTTTGGGCATTAAAAAAAATAGCAATAAGATTTTTCCGAGCCATACGGCATTTTTGGAACCTTAGAACGTTAAATTACGCTTGAATTTTGGAACATACTCTAGAACTAATTTTTTAAATAATTTTTAACCAATTCTTTTTTTTAATTTTTGAGCGGTATGGCTATTATATTACTTTTTCGATAAGAACCTGGTTAATTTTTGAAAGGAACGTGAACTTGAATTTTCTGCGGCATTTTTGGGAATGATCAGTCTTTAAAATCAAATTTTAGTTTGCTATGCTATTTGATAGTCAAAATTCGAATACATGGCTTCAAATATACAAAAAATCACATAATTATTGATACGAGAAAATTAGATCCTTACAGGAAAAATGTATTTTCGTAGACTGAAACCGGCAAGAATCATTCAAATTTCGTAAAAAATTTCCCCTGCCTTCTGAGGGCCTTTCCGCCAAACTACTATCAAAGCGGAACACCCCAAAACTTGCTCATCACTTCTTCCCGTCCGCTACTAACCCATTCAAAAGCCCGGCGGCAACTACCCCCAATTTGGGTTGATTTTTCGTATAGCCCAAACCCGGGGTGGTGAGGGGCTCAAATTTGACTAGTTGGTGGAGCCGGGTAGTCGCTCGGAAAAGGGGGCATCTTCTATATTTATCTGTGGTAATGAGATGCTATGTAGCAAAGAGGGAAAGGGGAGAATGCGATTGAATGTCGTCCGCCCTTCCCCCCCCCCCAACTCCGATACACGCCACTTGACGATAATCCAATGGGTTTTGAGGCCCTCGAGGGCAAGGGCATCCCCCTCTCGACCCTTGAAAACGATAGAGTACGAGCTACGCCTTTGTACGGCTGGGGTAGAAAAGAGGTAGGGTATCGAAATGAATCGTTTTAGAGGTATCGAAAAATTACCAAAGCTGAAATGAGAATTTTTAAGGCTAAAACAATTTATTAAACGAGAATTTCAGGATGCGGCCCGTCAATTCGTCCCGCATTGGCCTGGCGGCTCGCCGAACGATGTGAGCGTCTCCTGCCAGGTCGTTGGCACGGATCCGACCTACGGATTTCCGCGCGTCTGTGACCAGTCGGCCTCGATGCGGGTGATTCAGGACAGATTCGTGAGGGAAATGGTGAGTTTCTAGCTCTCTGTCTCTCTCTCTCTCTCTCTCGCCTTAAAATCAACTGTCAAGAAAGATATGCTTTGCGTGACTTCCCTTTTGCCCCTAGCAACCCCAAAATCACCCCCTCAAATCTTATCACATCACCTGGATCCGGCAGATCGCCCGGGGGCTCCTTATTCACGCGTTGTGGGCCCACAGGCGAAATGTCAAGTGGGGGTACCTGGGGCATGCTTTGTTACTGTGGCCAGAGTGGGTCAAACGGGCCATTCATGACGAGATAGCAATGGCGCGGAACAAGTAGTAGAGATCAGAAGTTATGGAAAAAGATTATCGTTACAACAACAATGATATTATTTAGAGCAAAAAGTTGAAATAAGGGCTTTTGGAAAACATTAAAAAATCTGGTTTCATCACTTTCAAATTTTTTTCCTTAGATTTTCTTTGAATAAGGTTTTTGAGTAAAAAAAACAGATAGTTAAAATATGCTTCGGGCTATATCCAGAAAAAAAAAAAAAAAAAACAACAAAAAAACCAACCAAAAATCTCCCCAAAAAAAAAAAACCAACCACAACCCCAAACAATAAAAAAACCCAAAAAAAAAATATAATTTTTTTAGAGTTGTAGGTTTAAGTTCTATTCAAAAAAGTGACAGGATCAATACCTAGCCATCCCTGACCCCAATCCTCATCGCCTATTTGGCTTTGCCCAACTTTTTGCCACCTGGCCCCCGATGCCATTTTGGGGGTAAGAGGCTGGGAAAGGCTGGTAAAATATTGCGCAATTTGGTTCCAGGGTTCGACCCCCCGCTGCACGTCCCATTCTTTGTTTTTGGGGGAAGAGAAAATGGTGGTGATGAGCACCTGGATCATTTGGCATCTTTGCCAGGGCACTGCTTTTGAGCCCTTATGCAATCGGGGGGATCAACAAGGATTTGGCTGGGGATGCCATACAGGCAAATTAGCATGGCTGGTGTTGCGCGAGCGAATAATGAATCCGGGGTGGGCGAGTCGGGTCAAAAATTGAACGGCGACGTGTGGGCTATACCTTTTGAAAGTGAGCTGCAATGTTCTGATAAAAAACGCGCAAATTTTCTCTTTCCAGAAAACGCATCGCGCTCGACGCGAGTTGAGCACGTTTGATGAGGACGAGCCGAAAAGACAGCTCATCGAAGTCCGAGGGAAATGCTTTAATGCTACGTTGATGATCCAGAAGCACACTGAACGGTGTCCGTGGTGTCCGCATCCGTCCGAAATGACGGTTATCCAACAGGAGGTACGTAAAGCTCTCTACCTCTCTCTCTCTCTCTCTCTCTCTCTCTCTCTCTCTCTCTCATCCCCCTCTCTCTGCATTCAATTTTTGGTTTCAGATGATGGACCCAACATCTACCGCATCGTTGCTAGCGTCGTTTGGGTCTTCCTCCCCGACTTTGGCGGCTTCACTTTTGGGGCTCACTGCCATAGCGATGTTGAGCTCAACAGCTTTTGCCTGTCTGCTCATATCGTACTTCCGGCAAAGGAAGAGGTTTTATAAGCAGGTAGGTGAATCAACATGATGTATCTCTCTCGCTCTCTCTCTCTCTCTCTCTCTCACAGTATCTCTCTCACTCTCTGTCTCCTCAATCTCTCTTCCAGCTTTTCTGATCTTGAGTTGCTGGCCTTTTAAACTCTTAAATTTCATAATTTCAGCTCAAGCAACCCCGATTCCACCCCTACCGCGGCTCAACCCTCGTCGCCCAAAAAGACGACGAAAACCGGTGAGTCAACATAATTTATTGCTGCCAATCTGTGGCCCACGCAATTTGGTAGCCCCCCAAAATGGTTCCCCGCCCCAATCTTCCTCAACGACAAGGCCAATTGGTTATTAAAAGTAGTGGGAGTGTGGGGGGTATCGAGGGTAATGCGCCTGGCTCGCTCCCGGGGCTGTAAATATCCGCACCAACTTGATGAATGCCCCGAGGCGACGAGAGGATATCCGGGCCACCCCCAATTGATTTTTGTGCTGACAAATCGCTTTCTGGCGTGATTTTATGGGCTGGGAAGATACGGAAGGGAGGGGAGAGAGAGAGAGAGCGAGAGAGAGATGCTCTACGACTACGACCGGCTACTACTGACTGTAATATTCAGAGAGGGATGGCCAGTAGCAATATTGTAAACAAATCCACGCCTAGGTGCCACACACCTGACTTTGGGGTTGACAAGATCAATTTGCTGGGTTATTGATGAAGCTAGGAGCATGTATGCTAATTTTTCGGCTTAGGCTTGGCTTAAAAAGCATGTCAAAGGGAGCCGGAAGCGAACTTTACTACATATGTAGTTGTTAGAAACCTGAGGCGGCGATTTTCGCGCGGTAAAATGCCTCTAATCACCTAAATCCGTTTTGTTCTTACCTTTTTGGACTTAATTTTAGAAATACCTTTCCAGATATGACCTACCCTGGGAACAAACAAGACCCCTGACCTATTGGATGGGCGGCCCGAGCAAGGGAACGACAAGTCCGGGCACTACGACAAGTCCTCTCGATTCGGCATCATCACTACCGTATGCCTACCGGATGCCGCCGAGCATGCCACCTCCACAGGTGAGAGATTTTACTCGGATCTTCATTACATCGTGACCATAGGGAGAATGCTACCCAGAAAAAGTCTCGGTTTTTCAAGCCTTCGACCTTAACCTTTGAAATCTAAAATCCGTACCTGCAGCAAGGAGGGTCTCGTGACTTATGGTTGCAAACGGTTAGGCGGCTTTTTCTAGTTCTCACATTCCTCGACTCCTCAAAAAATGTTTACTCCTTGGGATTTCGAGTACGTGAGGGCCCAAAAAACGTTTTCACGCCCCACCGTTACTCTTTAAAATTTTGGAAAATATGAGAAACTGGTTAGAGTGCATTCCCCCCCCCCCCAGCCGGCCCCCAACTTTTGTATCTCGGCTCCCTGTTCATCTACAGGTGTTTTAAATATACCAAAATTTTTGTCGTGCTCTGGCGAGTATTTCGGTATACTTTACACACCTGTAGATGAACAGGGAGCCGAGATACGGTAGGTGGGTGCCGCCCGGCCGGGGGGAGGGGCAGGGGAAAACTGCACTTCAGCTGAGAAAATTTGCAAGAGGGTCCACTGCCTATTAGAAAATAAAATTTGCTTGAATAAACATTATCTAATCGGTGTATTGTTCAGATCAACGTCCCATCGACACGAATCTATCACACAATCGGAAATAACCACCATCACCCACCGATGCAGCACGACGATTCCGGGCTGGAATCTGTTTAATAATTCGATTTTTTGAAAAATTGTGTGAGTAGGGGAATGATACTTAAAAAACGATACCCTGCAAATATTTTTCGATTTCTCCACTTCCGCAATTTTCCAACTTCCTAATGATGTGCAAAACCTGTTTGTGTCCAAATGCTTCGATACGGGTGCTTCCTCCAAATTTGCCTTTTTCAACGCCCCGAATTTTCCGAATTTTGGGGAAGCCGTGAATTCTATGTCCCTCAGCGATCCGGTGTACAGTGTAGCGCCTCGGAATATTGATTTCGTAACTTTAATATCAAAAATCAGTAATTTCCAAGACCCTAGCGCAAAATTTTAGCAATTTTTGCGTCCATGGGTCCGGTGGTGCTCTCGTCAATTCTCTGAATAATCCTCTTTTTCGATTGATTTGAGCTTTTTGCTTGTTTGTCCATGTATTTATCGTTATTTACTGTGCGTGTGTGCTAGAGAGATAAATATATATGCTTTATTTGGTCGATTTAAAAAGCACGAAATTTATGCAAATCTGAAAAATGCAAAGGTATTGCAGTGAGCATTTAAGAAATACGATATTTAATCGAGCAATTCAAATAGATCGGTCTCCACAACGTATTTCCCATCGACTTGTCGCCAGTACTAATAAATATAGTTTTCAGTGTCTTTTTTATGCAAATTTAAGATTTTCGAGTTTTTTCTTCTTCTTAAAAGCTAATGAATCTATTGTAGGATCTATTGAACTCTACATTCATGTTTGGGGGAGCTAACCTTTTCGCAAAGCGCTTAAAAAGCTTAATTTCAGAAGTATTGGCATGATAAAGCCTAAAATTTAATTTACCTGCAGAACCTTGGCTACAAACTGCTTCCCGTCCTTCAAGACGGTGGTCGTCGTGCAAGCGTAACGGATCAACTGCTCGGAGCCCTCGAATTTTTCGTCAGCTGCCTGAAAAGCGCCATTTTGGTTGAATCCGTTGACTTACGGTAGTTTTCGAGCCCTCCATCGGGCCTGCCCATTCTTGGAGCAGTTCAGTAAGACCTGAAAATGGTCTAAATCCGGGAAAGCGGCAGGAAACGGCACCTTTTTCCCCGACGTAGATCTTGCCGGTCTTTACGTCCACTGATACGACATTTGGAGCGTAATTTTTGGTAAGTCTAAAAGTTAAGATGTTTAAGAAATTGCGGGAAATGTTTTTATCGGATTTAAGAAATGGTAAAATCTTTAATTGTTGCTACATACTTGCTCAAATCATTCAACCGATAGCCCTCGTCGATCTCGATGATACCCTGGCGGATCAGCGCCTCCAAGGACATGTTCTAAATGTTAAAAGTTTCAAAATTTGGGCCCTAAAAAGGCAATTTCCCAAGGAAACTGTAGAAAACAGTTCAAAACCCATCAATGACCATGTCCCACGCAGCGGTTGTTGATTGCGGTTAGGGCGTGAGAAGCGCTCTGCAAACACCAAAATGCTGGCGTGTACCTGCTGCACTTGTATTCGAGCTTTTGCGCGCTGGTCTTTGGGCACTTCTACAGGAAAAGCGCGTTGAGACGTTGCGGCAGAAAGTTACAAAAAACCCGGAAAAGCACGGATTCTGCGATACTGACAACTGAGACTGACTCTTTTGTGAGCCAAAAAAAGCTATGCCGGATCCAAACTTTCACCCAAAAATATGGTATGATATATATGGTCGATATGGCTTTTCCGAAATGCTACATGTGTCCGAAATATTTAAATTAAGATTTTGGCCAAGGATTTGAATGATTAGCCCGATCGGAAATAAGGTGAGCTATGCCTGCGATGGCTGGCCTGCCCGGTTAAGGTAAGACCAGACTATAGGTTTTTGAATCTGGAATCCTGGTGAATTTTTAATTTTACCGCGCTGCGAAACGTGACGCGCACGTCTTCTTTCCATTGCGTAACCGAATAGACCTTTCGCAAAACAACAAAGCGACCACGTCGATTTTGCCGTGCTACGCCACGAGACGCGATCGTCTTATTCTGCTTTTTTCGAGTAATGAATTGCAACGCTCTTTACGACCCAAAATCGCGCTGCGCGTGTTGTTGCATGCGCGGTGAATCCATAGAAAGCTGAATCCCAAGTTACTCATCGTTAGGCACTTTAAACGACCCGGATATACCTTCCGGCGTCTAAAACCAAATGTTAAGTCCTCCTATCCATATCCATGTTACAATATTTTCAGAATCCAATATGCATCATCCTCCCGACTCCCCCTATTTGAGAACGTGTGGGACAGCAGCATGTGTCATGCTTTTTGCGTTCGGCTCGTTTTGCTCCAACGCCGTCGGCGCGCGTCTATTTGCCATTTCTTCCGCGCGCCCACCCGCATATAGCTAGCGGCTACAATGGCTTCAGCTTGGTGCTATAGGTATCTGCTCATCTTTGGCAGTATTTCATCGGTATTGACGCAATGGTCCATTGATCAAGTGTGCTACAGTAATTTCTACTTGAACAGCCCGCAGCCGGCACCGATGTGGGTTTTAAAAAACTAGTGAAGGCAGAAAGGCTTGTTTAATTATTGACTTCATTGATCTATTTCTTAAGATAAAAGAATCAAAGAAAGAACGCGTTTGATTTCGACCTCATTTTAAAATGAGAACCGAAGGAAAAGATAAAAATTTTTACAATAAAGAGATAGCGCAAACGTATCGCTTTTAGGTTGTCCAATTTTTAATGTTTTTTTTTCCAACATTTAGGTTAAGATATCTTCAAGCTACCTAAAAAGTTGTAAATTGGTTTAAGGTATGGTGACGTTACCGAATTCCCAGAAATATGCTGAACTAACCCTAATATTTATACAATTAACAACCGAAAAACTAACGTGTACTAATTAACTTTTAAGTAAATTAGTTGCTATAAATCTATATAAATCTAGATAATGAAGTATAACAGATATAAATAATAAAACTAAATTTACTAAACTAAAGACAAAAAAACTAAAACATTCAATTAATTGCTTCTTTAGAAAATGTCCTCCAAATGACTATTTCTCTTACTACGAATGCTGTGATGGACGTCAGGAACTTTGCTGCAGAAAGCCAAGAGCTGTATTGATGTGAGTAAAAACCTCAAAGATTTTATGCCTCAAATCCTATGCTTCAGAATCATTCTCATCATCGTCCTACTCTGCTTCATTTGCCTGATGGCTTGTTGCGTTTTTGGCTTCATTCTCCGTTTGCGGCGCTGGCCCAAAAAGAAGAAAAATGAGGACGCAGAAGCGCAGACGTCGAAGAAAGCCTCGGTCGTGGAAACTGGTGCTCAGACAAGTTCTGTGGCTCCAGATGATGAGTTTGTAATGGCATATGCGGAGTTGCGGGAGACCAAATGTTAATATATAATAAATTATGCGATAAAAACCGAATACTGACAACTTCGTACGCACTAAAAAGTCGCTTGAAAACAAAAAAATCCAAAACTTAAAAAATTACGGACTTTGTTTCGTCAGAAAGCACTTATACAAGTAAAATGTCATAAAAAAATCGATAAAGATAAGTATAAAACCGGAAAATTCCAAAATTTAAAGCCGTAGTAAGAAACGCGATACTTAAACATACACCAATATAACCTTCTTTCCCGTGCTGATATGAAGCTATCCGCCGAAATATTAAACGCTTAAATCTAGGTACTAGTGCGATCTGAAAAATATGAAAAGTCAATTTCTTCTCCAACGCCAGTCTAACCGTAGGCTTGTAGGTTGTAAGCTTGTAAGCGCTGCTTGCCAAGGCAATTCGCACGCGAAAATTTAATAGGGAATATGTTAAGCCAGCCCCAGGCCGGCCTATGCCCATTATGTCCAAACCAGCCTAAAACGGCTGCTGTATGAGCAACTCTCGTCACTTTGTGGCGACTGCCTTTTGAACACCTTTGAAGCATCAATGCTCGGCTATCTTTCCGTACGACACAATGCGGCTGTGACATAATTTCCTAATCGTGGCCGCTACGCAGATGTCACGTGTTCACATTCAAACTTTCAATCGGATACAGCTACCACATAAGCGGAAAAAAATATCATTCGTTGGTGGCTTTGTTACATCAGTTTTTGTGTCTTATTGTGTCTCTCTCTCTCTCTCTCCCGCTCTCTCCCATCTATCACCCTCTTTACCCTCGTGTGAGAACTTTATTTTGTCTTTTCCTTGATAGCCCGATAATATTCGATAACTTTAACAACCTTTTCATTTCAGGTTATGGACAAATTCGTCGACTTTCCACTGCTAGTCCAGCAAAACATCCTTCGCCATATGGATCTTCGGAGCTTCTTCAAAACGGCCATATCAAGCAAAGCTATGTTCGAACTGGCCAAGGCTTGCCCGGACAAATACTGGGATGTGGAGCTGCAAGAACATGCGGAAGATGAGATTTGGGGTGTTTTGGACGCTGACTGTGAGAGACTAGCAATCGAAAGTCTCGACACTTTCAAGCTTCTTTTCCATCGTTCCACCGTCAGCTTACTGTATATAGAACGGCTGATCCCTCAAGAACTCGATATCCGTGGTAGGTGCCTGGGAGTGGACCTCGAGCACAGCATTAGTGGCGAATCTCTACTCGCGAAGCTTAAGCACCACAAACCGGCCCGAAATTATGAAGCCATCGAAGCGAGCGCCGTATCACCAAACCGGGAATTCTGCGAGTGGCTGAACGACAATGCCGACTATCTGGATGTAATGATTGACGTGCCCGCCCCAGAATACATTCTATTAAAGGTGCCGAAGATGGATCTAACGAACTTTCAAACGGTCGACCCGTGCTATGCCATGTACGCACAAATGATTGTCACCGAATGGTTGGAGGGGAACCGTGAAATCCGTTACGTTGGTATACGCGATATTACACACCAAAATCACCTCGCTGGCTTTTGTGACCAAGCCTTCCACCGGAACTACCCGAAACTGTGGCTGATGGGCAAAGAAACCGCCTACTACTACATAAAGCGTGACGACGGAAACGCATTGATTATGTCTGTATGCTATAAGGATCGGACGCTGATCTTCGCACACCCTGACGAGCCGTTTGGGAAAATTTATTATCATACCCACCAACTTCGGGATTTCCTGGATGTTGTGGGTCGTTAAACTTTTAGTTTTTGTTGAGTTTTTGTTGAAATAGCACGGAATTTTTAAGGTTAGGTCATTCGGCCGCAGCATAAACACTTCAAAAGATACGTTTTTGCGTGACGTCCTGATTTTCAGCAAGGATCAAAAATAGCTCGTTCAAAATTTTACCCTAGTCCCGAACGTGTTAACAAACTTGCCAAAAAATTAAACACATCCTACCAATTTAAAAAAAATTTTTTTTTTTTGCCTTTGTGTGCCCCCCCCCCCCCCCCCCCCCCCCCCCAGCGCCGTAACCAAAAACCCAAAAAAAAAAAAATAAAAGAGAAATATAGAAATCTTTTTTAGAGGCCAAAAAGGAAAAAAACACCCAAAAAAAAAAAAAAAAAAAAAAATTTTACAATTCTCCCATTTTTATTTTTTATTTTTAAAAAAAAAAAAAAAAACCAGAACCCAAAAAAAAAAAAAAAAAAAAAAGAAAACAAAAAAAAAACAAAAAAAAAAAAAAAAGGCCCATTTTTTTTTTTTCCCCCGGGGGGGGGGGCGAAAAAAAAAAAATTTAAACCCCCCAAACACAAAAAAGGGGGAAAGAAAAAAAAAAAACGAAAAGCCTCTCCCAACCCCTTTTGAAAAAAAAAAAAAAAAAACACCCAAAAAAAAAAAAAAAAAAAGACCCCCCTTTTTTTAAACCTCAAAAATTTAAAAAATTTTTCTATTTTTAAAATTTTTTGGTGAATTTAAAAAAAAGGAAAAAAATTTGCACCATATCGGTTTGTTCTCAGCTTCAAACCACGGCGACACTCAAAAATGTCTCCTGTTCAGCAACCGGAAATGGTGTTCTAGTCTTTGACCTGGTGAGGATAAGCGTTGAAGTGTTCTTTATATGAATTGAAAGGTTCAAGATACAAGGCTTCGATGGTCGAGACCGGCACCCAGACAAGTTCTCTGGCTTCAGATGATGAGTTCGTGATGGCCAATGCAGAGTTGCGGCAAACGAAATGCTAATAACTTAGCAAATTAAGCGATAAAAACTGAATTCTGACAAATTCCTACTTACTAAAAAGTAGCTTGAGAATCATAGAACCTAAAAAATTGCTTGTAGTAGGCGGCGATCAAAAAAATTACGGACTTTATTGCGTCAGAAAACACGTATGCAGGTGAACTGTCATGAAAAATCGATAAAAATAGGTCGAAAACCGGGAAATGCCAAAATTTAAAGCTGTAGTATGAAACGCGATGCACCAACATACACCAATGCAATAGTATAAGCCGTGGTACTACCGTATTAACGCATTACATGTGTAATAAATCACAATATTGACCCGTAATTCTGTAATCTATACATTTGTGGTGGTCTGCATTTCGATCGGCGGCTTCTCCGAGTCCGAAATTTCCGGCATAATTCTTTTGCCTTCAGGATTTTCTCTGGTGATATGGGTAAACTCGGCCGGTTGGTCGGTGCAGACAAAGAAAAAGACGATGCTTGCCTAGATAAAAGATTTTAAGCTATATATATTTTTGCTTACAAAGATTAACACGACGCCGTTGAGGTAGAAAACGTAGGACCATTGGACGATGTCTGAAATTTAAGATTTCACGATTATTGATTGATACTTTCGAGAAACGATAAATTTTTGACAAATTTTTGACGCATTTTTGTAGGCTTTGGACTCTGAAAACCAGAAAAAAAGACGTATCGTACCTGTTTCATCAGTAACAAATAATGCCCAGCTGGCAGGGGCTGTGATCAGCGCGACGCATTTCATGAACTGGACGGCTGCCAGGACGAAGTGAGCGTATTGCCTTAAAAAGCAGGTTGAGGGTTTTTCATTAGCTTGTGTACGAATGTTTAAACTTTTAAAGGGACTAGGAAACTCCAAAATGTACGCATGATTGGGTGTTGACCGCGCTATCCGAAAAACAAAATTCGCCATGAAAAACCATTAAAAATAGTTTTAAAAAGTTGTTTTGCACACTTTATGTAGTGGCGACACCTAGTTAAAGAGAGCGGGTCAATACTTTTGAATTTGCCAGTCCCTTTAAGTTCTTAGAATGTTTTTTATCGGCTTCGAAAGCTTTGTTACATTTTTTTCGTACCTTGCCACCAACGTTCCACACTTGTAAAACCCGCCACAGTTCGCCGCCATCGTCACCTGGACCATCACGATGAAATACTAAGCTTTCTGTCATTTTACGCCCCAAAAATCTACTTACAAAAGCCGCCCAACCATCACCAGCCCGCTTGACAAGCCCCAACATGATACAACACATTCCGGCCATTCCGACAGCAATCAAATTGCAACCTTGCATTTTTGCCATTTCGCTAACGGCCCTGGAAATAGCCTTTTTTTAGATCATATTTTCTTCTTTTAACTAACTCTTTTTTCTACTAACCTTAAATTTTAAAAAAATTCGAAAATACAGAATTATCAAGTTGATGACACGCACTTGATTCTGTCGCTGCAGTATCCAGACAGGTATTTGAGAGGTACGTGGGTAAAAGCAGCGCACGCAGCCAACATTCCGGTGCTGACAATATCAAAGCCGAGGACCTAAAAATACATTAAACTACTTATTAACTAGGGGTTCGGGGGTCTCCCCCCCCTTTCCTCCCTTTCCCTGTTTTGATCCTTTTTTTTCTTTTTCCCTCCCCCCCCCCCCCAAATTAAAAAAAATATTTATATCCCCCCCCCTCCTCCCTATAAACCCCCCCCCACCTTCCTCCTTTTTTTTTTTTTTTTTTATTAAGAATTTTTAATTTTTTTATAAAATTTTTTTTATTTTTAAAAATTTAATTTTTTTTTTTTGTTATTTTCGAGGGCCCTCCCCCCCCCCCCCCCCCCCCCCCACAATTTTTAATAAAAAAAATCCCCCTTCCCCCCCCCCTTTAAAAAAAAAAAAAAAAACCCCCCAAGAAAACCAAAAAAAAAAAAAACACCCCAAAAAAAAAAAAAAAAAAAAAAAAAAAAAAATTTTTTTATTATAAGGTTTTGTCGATGCTTGAAGCATCTGAATCCGTTTCCTAAAAGTTGCGCCACCTACCGTATGCAAATACAACGGCACATAGGTGTGCATTAACGTAACCGTCGTCATCTCACTGAACGAGTTCAGCCAAACAACGAGGATGGTCTTGTTTTTGAAAATAGCCTAAAAGAGATGGATTCCAAAGCCTGGGTATGCCCTACCAAGTACGGCACGAAACTATCACCCTCAATATGGGCCTTGCTCTTGTTCTTCTGAATCGTTTTGAGTTCTTTTTCGTCCACTCGTCTATGGCTGGCAGGGTCATCCTCATAGACGAAAAGCCACGCTAGAGAAGGTCATTATAAATCTGGTTTTATGAAAATTACCTAGGAAGAAAGTGGCTGCAATTGCTGCATGTGCGTAGAAAGCCCAACGCCATCCGAGGCCGGATTTGCAGATCTAAAGGTAGCTATTTTTGCGTACATTCTCTGTCTCTCTCTCTCTCTCTCTAGTGCTATCTCTCTCTTTCTCTATCTCTCTTCTATCTCTAACACCTACCCATCCACTCAACGGATTCGTAATCGTCGAAGAAATTGATGTAAACGACGTCAACGCCGCCCCGAATATCCCGATTTCGGCCAGCGGAGCCCAGCGTACGACAACAAGGCCTATAGCTGCAAAGTCGGCGGAATAGGCTAAGCCCTAAATATACTTGGTATTCTTTTAAATTTAAGCTTTACTTGTATAAAACGTAGTCCCAGCAATGAGTGAAAAGAGAAGGAGGCAGCAAATGGGATTAGGGCTGTGGCTATTACGGACAGTATACCAGCGATGAAGAAGGGGAATCTAAATTTACAATTTGTTCCTCCCCCCCCCCCCCCCCTCCCCCCCCCCCTCCCTCTCCCCCCTCCCCCTCTCTCTCTCTCTCTCCCCTCGCTCTCTCGCTCTCTCGCTCTCTCTCTCTCTCTCACCTCGCTCCATAATTTATATAAGCCCAATTTATTGGAAAAGTCCCAATTATCGTCCCAGCCGCCACCGCCCAAACGATCATACTCTTTTCGGCAGGGGTGTAGTCGAATCGACTATGCAATGTCTAAAATACTTTTTTAACTTTTTAAGCTTCTCTTACCCCATTGATGTCTTCTATCGCCCCCTCCATATCATTTTTCATGCAGATAAACGTGAAATTCATGGTAATATAGTTCGAATTGATCGAGGTTAGACAGAAAAACGCGGCAATCACGACGACCGCCCGGAAGCGATGCGTAAAGCAGCCCATATCCTGAAAATAAGCAGCTTAATTTTTTAAAATTTGGTGAAAAGGCGATGCTCTAGAAATTTCAGAGTTTTAATAGAATTTTCTATTTCCATAGAAAATAATGTGAGCTGCGGGGTATTTTTAAAGGGTCCCGATTTAATAAGAGCAGAATTAACGTTTTCACCTACTAGATGTCGACACCCAGTGGATCGGAGGGGTAGATTTTGGCGCTGGCAAGCCCCTTTAGACAGATTTTTTCGCAGAAGCGTTAGAAATTGCGAAGATGAACTGATGGCACTCGTTTGCAAGCCGTAAAATGTAGCGGTTTGTACTTATTTTTCACTTTAAAGGCCTGATAAGCCCAGAAATCAACCCCCATTAGCGGCTAGGTTTCAGAAAAGAAACGACGCTACAGCAATCGGGTGTCATTTGGCACTACGGGTAGCTGTTGACACCCAGCCAAGGGGGAGGGTCGATTCTGGCACTTTCTAGCCCCTTTAAAACGAATTTTCAAAAAAAAAATGGGCTTTCAAAATTCGATGAAGACTAGATATAAGGATGCTAACAGATTAAATGGAAGTTATCGGCAGTAAACACATGCAAATCGTTCCAAAATACACGCATTGTATTCGCCAAATCGGCGCTGGTACACTGGACCCCCACACAAAAAAGGAAATGGAAGTGTGCGCGGATATTGATCATATCAACCCCCCGGAAAAGGGAAATGTTAACCGACATCATCACCTAAAGAGGGAGCAGGAAATTGAGAGATGTCCCTCCCGGCTATTGTTCGGCCAATAGCTCCCGGCTCGCTTTTTTTCGGGGGCGGGGGGGGGGCGAAACCAGAAAAGGGATCGGGACAATTTTTAAAAGTTGTGCGCATCGGTTTTGATTTTTCGGTTGATCGCTTTGGCCGGGGTCCGGTGATTCATCGGGGGTAATTTTCGCAGGTTCACGCCCGGCGGATCGTTAGTTTTGGGAAACCGAAAAATCGGAAAATTCAGTGACTGGTACAATTGTTGCACCTTCAAAAGTGATACTGCATCATTGAAAGATGCCACGATTTCGATCGACCTTGATAAATCGCAAAGAACACCTGGGAAGGGGCAGGCCAGAAGAAACTCTTTTGGCTGTCTAATTAATAGCCGAATTTCATTTGGTGAACCTTCGAAAAGTGACTGTACCATCGACAGGAATTCGAGCAAAAATGCCGACATCGGAAATAACGACCGCCAACATGCCGACAGCCGAAATCCAGTCAAACCATGCCGACAAACAAAATGCCGACAACGAAAATCCCGAAATATTCTTGATGGTAGTTTGAATGCCACTTTTGTAGTGATTTTATTTTGGCGTTTTTCAGAAGGTATCGACATTCTGAGATCGGGCATAAGTTCAATATCTACAAGCTACAGACACTCAAGGAAGACATTATCTCAAAGCATCTGTTAGAAAGCAAAATTGTTATGTTAAACTTCCCTTTGCACAAGGATTTACGACACTTTACTCTTTACAGACGCGACTATGACATTTTTGGGCAAGAGTGTGTGCCGAGTTGTTATTCTATGGCCACAACTGGCCGTGAAATAGAAAAAAAGACACCGTAGAGATTATCGTAACGATGAAGGAAGGAAATACCTGAAAGATATGCCCAAAAATGCGGCCCAAAGCCTCAAAAATAACTTCAAACCGAGGTTTTTGAGGAATTCCGAATAAGTACGGTGGCAACGGCGTGGTAGATTGCTTGAAAAGTATGATTTTCTCATTCTCTTGAATACACTGAATATTTGCTACGTTTATATACCCCCAAATATGCAAAAATCCCAAAAAGTGTAGTCACCTAGTCCGGATGGTGCAATCGCCGAGCTAATCGGCGAATTTGCATACAGCATTACTCACCGTTCGCCAAAAACCTACTGGCAGTGTTCGCTTGAAACATTTTACTCATATTTTTGAGTAGGCGGGGGGCCAGGCAGACACCACCCAATTATACACCCCGGTTTTTCCGGCTGGCGGACGGTAGGGAGGGAGACTACGCGGCAAAACTATTAGCGCCCCCAGCCAGCGATAGTTCTAGAATAAACTCTGCCCCCGGCCACCGTAACTCTCCGCCCCCTTGATAATTGGCCATTAAAGGGAACGGCACATTTTTTGGGGCGCTGGATGTGCGGGTGCCAGATTGTTTTGTTGGTGCCCGAGCACAAGGTCGAGTTGATAATCCGTTCCAAAATTGTGCGTACGTAGGATTAAAGCGGATTTTTTGGATTTGGCCCTGGTTCCTGCTTGATAAAACGCCTTCCGGCGTCAAAGCTTTGCACCGATGCCAATTCGGGGAGGCAGCAGCGAACAGAAAAATGCAGATTCGATGATCTTTGTATTATTTTGGAGATCTGAGGGTTGACTTTTAGGTATTTAATGATTGCCTTGCAGAAAGCTTTCAAGACATGTCTCTTTTGAGGGACCAAGAAGGCGAAAGACCGAATGTTTTGAAGGAACATCCACCCATCAATTTTATAAAAGACGTCCACGCTATAGCAGGTAGGTTCTCTCCTAATGCGTGGAACAGTCGCCTGGGGGAAGAGGGCCCGTCCCGTCCCGATTCGGTCGGCCGGTTGGCACATTGCTTTTGTGTTCGCCTGTCGCGCGCAAGGCCAGGGATCGGCCCCCGGCCGTGGCATGGCCTTTTGCTTTTTGATTAAAAGCTGGGGGTTGAATGTTTCTTTCAAGGAACGGGCAAGGCATGACTATGGATTGTTTTAAATGCCGCTCATTCAGTTCAAAAAACCCATTGGAATCCATGGATTAGCCTTTCGTGTACTTTTGAAGACCGAAATCTGAAGAACAACGAGGATACTGATAACCAATGATTATAGAACGTAGTCACAGACCTTTCTGTGTGTAATTATATTTTATTACCTCCAAATTAGATTTATGGTTCAGTTTTTATCAACCCGGTTTGTCTTCTGTGCCGTTTCTTCAAGCTGTTTCCCCGTTTTCTCGGACTTTTCCGCCAAATTAACTACCGAAAGGTGGGTAAACTCGATTGTCTTCTCCGTGTAGATGAAGATGAACATGAAGTTGGCCCAAAATAAACCATAACATTGTTAAATTCATGGGTTCTTACCGCGATTAGCATAGCTCCATTGAGATAGAAGACGTAAGACCATTCGGCGGCATCTAATTTTCTTTGGTTCTTACGCTTCACTGTGTTTTTACCACTCTCATCTTGAACAAACATAGCCCAGCTTGCCGGCGCTGCTACTAACGCTGCGCATTTTATATAGTGGATCGTAGAGGAAACGAAATGAGCGTATTGTCTAAAAAATAACGGAAGTATCGGACAAAATAGAATTCTAGAACGCGCATAGCCAAGCCATTCCCATCCGTTTAGCCAACCTCGACGCCATGTTTCCAGTCATAGAATCTCCAGAATTCACCGCCATTGCGCAGTAGACGACGCCAAAGAGGACCTAAAGGTAGCGTTCTGAACTATAGAAATTCGGCCTTCACATTCGGGCAAAAGAGTTTTTCATACCACACCAAAATATCCGTCACCAGTCCCCTTAGCAATTCCAATCATTAGACAGCAAATTCCAGCGAATCCAACGGCGATAAAGTTGCAAGCCTGAACTTTTACCTGCAGAGGTATCCAGCTAAAAGGTTTTTTGTGATTTAATGATTAAGATTTGCATACCTAAGACTATCGCAAAAATAACCAGACATTGACTTGATCGGTACGTGTAACAATGTAGTAAATGTCGATAGGATCCCGGTGGTAAAGACATCAAAATGGAGTACCTAAAATTAATTTTACCGAATCACAGATTCATAGCAATGCAAATTGCCACTCTCAAAATTCCAACTACGCTTACTTTATGATAATATAGCGGCATGAAGGTGACCAACAGGGTGGCGGCCGTCATTTTGGCAAAGGTGTTGAACCAAATTATTAGAAGTTTATGGTTCCGGAACAAGGACTTTAAAGAGAAGAATTAGAAAATGATGTTAAGATAAATACCTGGTAAGGTATAGCGCTGTTTTCATGCAATTTTAGGTCCGTTTTACCCTGTTGAATATGTTTCAGCTCCTCAGTGTCGACAGATTTATGCGTGATTGGGTTGTCGGTATAGTAGAGGGACCATACTGAAAATAAGAGGTACTTTCAAGGCACGCGGAAGGCAATTTTAAGCCGAAATAGGCTTCCTATTTATGAAAAGTAATGAATAAAGTAACCTACCAATAAAAACAATTGCAGAAACGAAAGCCTGCAAGTAGAAAACTCCTCTCCATCCCAGGGCGGAGTCACAAATCTAGAAATTAGTTTTAATGCTGATTAATAGCTATAATACCCATCCAGCAAACAGGTAAGTGACGCTGGTCGAGACAGGGATAAACCAGGACAATAGCGACATGAAGAGCCCGGTTTCGGCTGGCGGGGCCCAGGTTGCGGTGATATTTTCGATAGCCGTGAATGCTCCTGTGTAGGCTATACCCTGAAATTCAATCGAATTAGGTGAGTGTTATGCTTAGGCTTAGGATCAAGCTAAATTGAAGCTTGAGCCTGAGCTATAGAGCTTCAAGCTTACCTGAACCAATCGCAGCCCTAACAAGAAAGAGAATGAAGAACTAGCGGCTATCGGAATCTTCGTCGTCGCTAATATTGATAAAATCCCAGCAATAAGTAATGGTAATCTAATCGAGATCAATCAACGTTTTTCCAAAGTTATTACGCACCTCACTCCATAGTTTTTATACGCCCAATCAACTGGAGCAGTGCCAAGAATAGCTCCGGCCGCCACGGCCCATAAAATCAGCGTCTTCTCGATAGGTGCGTAATAGAAACGACTGTTTAGCGTCTGAAAATAGTGATTTTGGTGCGACTTACCACAGAATCGTGAAAAATCGTGAGTCTTACTCTACTTACATCATGACCATCAGCAACCGCACCCTCTGTATCGTTTTCCATACAAATAAACGTGAAATTCATTAAGATATAGTTAGAATTAATGGAGACGAGGCATAGAAAGGTGCCGAATGCTATAATAATTCGAAAGCGATGGGCGAAGAAGCCCATATCTAAAAGATAAGACAATTTATTTGGTTAAAAACAGCACAAAGTAATCCCGGGCCGGTAACCGGGCAGAGAAGAACGATTGGTCTCTTTGTTGACCAATACGATCGGGGGAAGACAGGAATGGTCAAGGGAGAGAGAGAAGGATAGCGTGAGGGAGAGAGAGAGAGTGAGAGAGAGATAGAGAAAGCTGGTTTTGGGGCCCAGAAGCTCTGACCAAGCAAGCGTACGTGCGGTCCGCTAAGGGGTTCTGACAATTTTGCAGCTACGATTCTCTGATTTCATCATGTATTTTTGCAGTAGATCGAATTGCAGTCTTATGAACCTCAACAATAAACTTCAAAATTCTCGAAAAAATCTATAAAAAGCTTTATTCCATCCATACATACATTAATCACACTGCGGCACAAAATTCGGTACTCAAGTTTTTGGGGACGACTTCTGGGACTGCGATTTCGATTCCTGTTGGCTCTTCGAGTCTTCAGGACTTCTGGCTTCCGGGCGGCTCTTGGTCTCCGAAATGCTCTGCGATTCCACGACACTATCCGGGGCTTCTCGCTCCGTCTGCCCGGTCTTGATCTCCATCGCCGAGACGTCGTGATGCCCGTCAGGGTTGTCCCTCGTAATGTACGTGAACTCGGCCGGCTTGTCGGTGCAGATGAAGACGAACATGATGTTGGCCTGAACAAAAAGAGGCATTTGTGAAAATTTCGTCGTTTCTTACAAGAATCAAGACAGCGCCGTTGAGGTAGAAGACGTACGACCATTCGGTGGCGTCTGAAAATTAGGTTTTGTGGATGAAGATCTATTTCGTACTGCTTTCATCTCGGACAAAGATGGCCCAGCTGGCGGGAGCTGCTACCAGGGCTACGCATTTCATAAATTGGATCGTTGCCAGTACGAAATGGGCGTATTGTCTGAAAATCATCGACGTTATGCAATGGTACGTTCGGTTACGTTACGTTGCTTCATGTTGCGCTGAGTTATGCTACACTGCATTGCGTTACGCTACGTTACGATACGTTACGTTGCGAACTGCATGAGGTGCGTGGCGTGGTCTCTGCACTGTGAGTTATATTTCGCTGGGCCATTTCGTTACATGCATTAAGTTTGGTAAGCTACGTTACACTACGTTACTTGGCATTGCGTAACGTGACGTTGCACTACACTGCGTCCGCTGTGCTACTCTGCATTACCTTACGCTACACTACGTCACGCTACATCGAATTCTGTAGCACTACGTTCTGTAGAATCCATCCTCTAACGCTATACTACGTATGCTTGGTTTCCCTACGTTACCTTGCTTCGCGTGAAAAAACCCACCTAGCTACCAACGTGCCAGTCTTGTAGAACCCGCCACAGTTCACCGCCATCGCACAGTAGACGGCCGCGAAGAAGAACTGGGATTTTCAATCTCCTCGAGTATCCATTAGCTTCATTACCACCGCGACATAGCCGTCTCCTGCTCGTTTCGCCGCCCCAATCACAAAGCAGCAAATCCCGGAAAAGCCGACGGCGATAAAATTCAACACTTGCATCTTGACGTGTTCGGGGATCGATCTGGCAAGTTATATTAAAGGGTTATAATGTTTCCTTACGTAATGCTATCGCTGAGGTAACCGGAGAGCCACTTCAGAGGAGCGTGCAAAAATGAGGTGACTGCGGCGAGCAGTCCTGTCATTACAACGTCGAAGCCGAGGACCTGCAAAAGGTAATTTTTAGGTTATGGGACACAAAAACAATTTACGAGAAAGAGGAGAGAGCGAGAGAGAGGGAGAGAGAGAGGGAAAAAGAGGGAGAGCGACAGCTAAATTCCTTGCCAACGCCACCTTGTTAAAATACAGCGGCATGTAGGTGAGCAACAGGGTGACGGTGGTCATCTCGGCGAACGAGTTGAACCACACGATGAGGATGATGTGGTTCTTGCAGATGGCCTGAAGAATGGAAGGAATCGATAATTTAGAAAGATTTACTTTGTACGGCACAAAGCTGTCGCCCTCGATGTGGGCCCGCGTCTTGCCCTTCTGAATCTTTTTGAGCTCCTCCGAGTCGACGGCCTTGTGCGTGGCGGGGTTGTCGGTGTAGTAGCCGATCCAGGCTGAAAAGCAAGGCTTGTTAAAGGTATCTAGAGTCCAATTTTAAGCGCTACCAACCCATGAAAACGATGGCGCACATGACGGCATGCCCGTAGAACGCCCACTTCCACCCGAGTGACGACTCGCAGATCTGGACGTCGTAATGTGGAGCTTTGCGTGGTCTCTTCATACCCATCCAGAAACCGGATTTGTGATCGACGTCGAAACCGGCGTAAACGACGTCATCACCGACATGAAGAGGCCGGTCTCGGCCAGAGGAGCCCAGCGTACGGTCACCAGGCCGATGGCTGCGAAGTCGGCTGAGTAGGCGAGACCCTAAAAAATTCTGAAGTTAAGGGACGACTGAACTTGTCGAAGTCGTTTTGGCCGCGTATTATGACACTTGGCAAACTTCATACCTGGACGAAACGTAGGGTCAGCAAGAAGAGGAACGACGAGCTGGCTGCGAATGGGATCATGGCCGTTGAGATGACAGATAGGGTACCAGCGATGAAGAAGGGGTATCTGAAGTTGGACATGTAGGTTTCTTTCTCTTTCTGACTCTTTCGCTCTCTCTCTCTCTGTCTCTCTCTCTCTCTGTCTCTCTCTCTTTCTGTCTCTCTCTCTCTGCCTCTCACCTCGCTCCAAAATTAATATACGCCCAATTAATCGGAAAAGTGCCGAGTATCGTCCCGGCCGCCACGGCCCACACGATGTAATTCTTCTCGGTAGGTGTGTATTTGAAGCGGCTGTGCAGCGTCTAAATAACTCCAGCATCACAATCCGTATTTCTCCAAAATCAAAATTTTAAAAAATCGTTTAGCCCTTGAACCCACTCCATTAGAATCCGGAATCGCGCCCGTCATATCATTCTCCATACAAATAAACGTAAAATTCATGGTGATATAATTGGAATTAATTGAGGTAAGGCATAGAAAACAGCCGAAGACGACGATGAACCGGAAGCGGTGCGTGAGGAGGCCCATTTCTGAAGGCAAAAAAAATACTGTAAAGAGGTTTGGGAAACTAACGGTAATTGGTTCGCTGCCGAGAAGTGGTAATGGGCGACCGGAAAAGGTCGAGGAGGCCAGCGCAAATCAACCCATCGTAGTTGTGGTAATTTACGCAAGTTTCATATGTAAATCATGTGACTTTGGCTGTTTTGCTATAAGAATTCGATGACTTGGCTAAAATTCATAATTCATGATTCAAAATCAAAATGTCGAAATTCCAGAACTCCGTCATTTTCGATATATTAAATTCTGAAAAAATCATTTCTCTCAGCTGCCTTTCTCTTACTCGCTTTAGCTCTTTCTCTGTCTCCTCTCTATTATTCGCATTCTCTCTCTCTCGTTTTATCCGAAAAGGCAATAACATTTCGTAAAAATTTATTCATCCATACATATTTTAATTACAACGTGACTAGACCGTCGACCCGTCATGCTTTTTGAGATTCCTTCTGCGATTCTGGCTCTTCATCAACTTTCAGTTTTTCGGCGGTGAGCGCGCTTTCCGACGTCTTCTGATCCGCTTGTCCGTTCGCAATTTTTGCTGGTGCTACACGATGCTTGCCCTCCGGATTGTCTCTCGTAATGTAGGTAAAATCGGCCGGTTGATCGGTGCACACGAAGACGAACATGATGTTGGCCTGAAAAAACCAAATCTGGGTCGTGTGGATTTTCTTACAAGGATCAATACAGCCCCGTTCAGGTAGAAGACGTACGACCACTCAGTAGCATCTGCAATCGATGTTTTGCCATTTTTTCACGTTTCCTACCACTCTCATTCCTCACAAAAATTGCCCAACTAGCCGGAGCGGCGACCAACGCTACGCACTTCATAAATTGGATTGTTGCAAGTACGAAATGGGCGTATTGCCTAAAAATTTCAATCTAATGGCTGCCTTAGGTTTACTTACCTAGACACCAAAGTGCCACACTTGTAAAAGCCGCCGCAATTTGCGGCCATGGCTAGGTAGACACCGGCGAAGAAACACTACAATTTCGATGCATCTAGGATTTTTTACACTTCATTACCACAGCCACCACTCCACCACCGCTCGTCTTGACAATGCCAATTACGATGCAGCAGATACCGGCAAAGCCGACGGCGATGAAGTTGCAGAATTGCATCTTGATGCCTTCGGGGATCGAGCTAAACGAGGCAGGTTAACCGAATCCTAGTATACCGATTGTATTAGTTAGTAGTATACAGGGTGTCCCAATAAAAAAGGTCACGCTGGCATTTTGCTATTTCAAATCTGACTGACTTGAAATTTTGCACGGAGGTGCGGAAGGGAACTTAAAATGTTCACAGAAACTTTCAGCCCGATCGGTACAGTAGTTTTCGAGTTATTGTAAAAATACAGTTTTTCCCAAACTTCAGCTTCATTTTTTTTCTTCTTTTTGGACTTTGCATCAATTAACATAAATTTCCGGCTCTAAATCCCTTATTCTTCTTAACATTGGCGTCGTTAGCCCTTGTTAAGAAATACTTAAATAGCCTATTTTCGACCCGAATTTTGCGACATAAAAAATTCCTAGGATAAAACGGGTCGGCGCTTCATTTTCTCCATACATTCCAGGGCTCAATTCCGGCGGAATTCAGGTAAATAACGTAAAATAAAGTTTATTTTTGCTATAACTCGAAAACTACTGTACCGATCGGGCTGAAAGTTTCTGTGAACATTTTAAGTTCCCTTCCGCACCTCCGTGCAAAATTTCAAGTCAGTCAGATTTGAAATAGCAAAATGCCAGCGTGACCTTTTTTATTGGGACACCCTGTATGTCTACTATTATTGGATGGAGTAGGAGACGACTATATCTAGACTTACGTAATCTTGTCACTGCAATAACCGGAAAGGTATTTGAGAGGAGCATGCATAAATGAAGTGACTGCGGCCAAGATTCCGGTGGTCACAACGTCGAAGCCGAGGACCTAAATTACATTGAATGTCAATTAGAGAGAGAGAGAGAGAGAGCGAGAGAGCGTGAGGCAGAGAGCGATAGAGAGAGAGAAAGACAGAGACAAAGAGAGAGAGAGAGAGAGAGTGGCAGAAAGAGAGAGAGAAAGAGAGATAGTGCCAAAACCCATGGCTTCCCTTGAACATTTCTGACGCACCAAGTGAATCTACACTTTTTCTCATGTTCTCATTTCTAATCCTTATTCATATGCGTCTATCTTCACCCACTTTATGAAAATACAAAGGCATATACGTCAGCAGCAGGATGCCGGTGGTCATCTCGGTCAACGAATTGAACCACACCACCAGCATGGTCGGGTTGGTGCAGATCGCCTGTTTCAATTCAGTAAAACCCAAAAACCAGGGCGTTTTGATATCTTTTTCAGTTTGTTTTCCTTGACCACCGGCACCCTGAAGCCTGAAAACCCAGAAAACATAGCTAGCTAAAATAATAGAAAACATAAAATAAACGTAATAGCTTACTTTATGAAAATAAAGCGGCATGTAGGTGAGGAGCAGGGTGACGGTGGTCATTTCGGCGAAAGAATTGAACCACACCACCATGATGGTGCGGTTCTGGCAGATGGACTTTAAAATGAGGGTAAACTGAAGGGATGAAAAGACCTACCCAGTACGGGACGTAACTATCCCCATCCAAATGAGCTTGAGTCTTGTCTTTCTGGATCTTTTTGAGCTCCTCGGTGTCGACGGCTTTGTGGGTGGCCGGGTTGTCGGTGTAGTAGAAGATCCAGGCTGAAGCATATGGAATCGAAAAGAGCTAGAGAACGAGGGAGAGAGGGGAAGTGAGAGAGGGTGCGAGAGAGCGAGAGAGGGTATGAGGGAAAAACTACCTAAAATAGCTTACCAATAAAGAATATAGCGCATACAAAAGCATGCGAGTAGAAGGCCCAGCGCCATCCGAGAGAAGAATCGCAGATCTAAAACAAATTTCGCATTATTTCCAAGTAATATTTACCCATCCAGCAATCGGATTAGTGACCGTAGTAGACACCGGGGTAAATGAAGTCATGGCCGCGATAAAAACACCGGTTTCCGCAAGCGGTGCCCATCGCACCGTAACCAAGCCGATAGCAGCGAAGTCAGCCGAGTAGGCAAGACCCTGAATTTTATAAGTTAAAGCGCATAATTTTATATTTTAAGTGTCTCTAGTTCTCATTTTTACCTGAACAAACCGCAATGACAGCAGAAAATAGAAAGAAGCACTGGCAGCCAGTGGGATCATGGCGGTAGCGATTACAGATAGGGTACCGGCGATGAAAAATGGTATCCTAAATTCATAGATACCTCGAAAAAGTGCGCCCTACCTCGCTCCATAATTTATATAAGCCCAATTGATTGGAAAAGTGCCAAGTATCGTCCCGGCAGCCACGGCCCATACTATAAAATTCTTGTCGCTGGGCGTGTATTTGAAGCGGCTGTGTAGTGTCTAAAAATTGATGCTAAGGACCTGTCTCGCTCTCTCTCTCTCTCTCTCTATCTCTCTCTCTCTCTACAAGAAACATATGTTACGCGCGCGCGAAATTGATGTTGTATGCCTGAAGACATAGCGACTTACCCCATTTTCATCAGCTATCGCTCCCTCCATATCACTTTCCATACAAATAAACGTGAAATTCATGGTGATATAATTGGAGTTGATAGAAGTAAGACATAAGAAGCATCCGAACGCCACGACGAACCGGAAGCGATGGGTTAGCAGTCCCATTTCTCAAATGTGTTTTTTTTTGCCAGTTTCTATCTCTTCGGCTCGCCAAAATTTGAATGCTACACAGGAAACATGTCCGAAAAGGACTTTAGAGACCAATAAAACGACACGCAGCTAAATGCAAGAAGAAATTGTGGGACTGCCGGCTGGGAACAATAGCCGAGCCGGTTGTTGACCAATAGGATCGCGCAATCGGAAACACGAATCGAGGGGAAGTGGATAAATTTGGAGGCACGCTTCTATAAGCCGGATTGGGGTAGTCGATTGGTTGGTTTTTTAGAACTTAGATCCCTTAAAAGAAATCCCTTTCGATCCGGGAATTAATTAGAAAAGGTAAAAAGCATATTTTCGAGATTGACTCACAATGAAGAAACTAGGATCAATCGCATAGAATAACAAGAATTTCCCGTTCCTCCTGCTCAACCATAACAGTTTCATTCGGCAAATGCAACGCCTTTCTTTTCGCACTCGCCAAATGCCGGCAATTCGGTCAAAAATCTTCGATCACAACGCGAAGGGGGTGAAAAATTGATCTCTCCCACCAATTGTCATAGATCTCTCGAAAGGCTGTATTGTTCTCGGTAGAAAAGTGTTTCTTTTTGGAAAATTGGGATAGGCTTAGGAAAAGCCGGGAGAAACGAAAGATACTTTGAAAATTGGACAAATTTCGATTAGCCGGCTAGGGTGCAACTCTTGGAGGGGGAAACTTGAGAAAGTCAAAAATTTCCTTTTGGCAAACCGATTTATCGTCACGTGTAGCTTGGCGGAACGCTTTGAGAGATTAGATTCGATATGCGTACATTAAGACAAAACAATACCTAATGCGTTTTATATGCTTTAAAACCTGATAGAACGGCAAGAAACGGCTACTCCAGAAAAAGTAACTCTTAACTTAACAATGGGAGCTTAGCCTATTTTTGGGAGTTTTTCAACGAGCCTCATAACCGTCAAAACAGAATTAAAAACGTGTAAACGAAGTTTAGTCTGAAAATCGGGTGTCAATAACCGGGCTTAACCCGACGATGGGAAACGCGCGCCCAGCAGGGAAAGAAGGGAAAGCACACAGCATGCGATGAACATGCGGTATCCCCCAAACCAATCCGCTTTGCCCGTTCCATAAAACTGTCCCTCTCGTCCGCATGGGAAACCCGGGAAATTTGTGCAAATCCCTAACCACCGATCACTTTGGGCACGCGTCCAGGGCAACATTTTAGGGTGCGGACTTCTTGAAAAACGAACAACCCGCTCACTCGTCTAAAAAATACTGTGAAATAGCGGCATCATAGAAAAAGCAGATTATAATTGAGAAGCGTTACGAAACTTTAAACGTGTGCAAATTTCTTTAAAGACCAGGGTTGAAAAGCCGCTTCGTGACTGATATTTCATAAATTTCGCGATTTTACTGACAAAAAACGAGAAGCGCCACCTCTATTCCCTTCCTTTAATTTATTAGTCTTTTGAGCTTTAGCATGCGTACTCTGTAAGTATCAAACGAACCATATAAATTTACAACGCGACATATTACGATTTTTTGCCTTCAAGAAATCATTTTCACGTTTTCCCCGTTGATCCGCTATCGCGACTATTTACAGGAGCCGTTCAGACATGCTGAGGCTGTTTTCACGGGTCACAGCTGATTTTGCTGAGGTGATAAGTTGCCGGCCAAAAAACGCAGGTCTTTGCCAACTGAAGACGCGGAAGAGGGCAACAAATTTGTTGTTGAAGAGGGAAAAAGAGGGAGATTGCGATAAATTATGGCTGGCCTAGCACTTTGCATAAAAGGTTCAAGCCGTTTTAAATTATTTTGGCCCTGTTTTTATGATATTAAAAGTACTGGTCAACGACAAAATTATAGCGTCTTTTTTTTGGGAATGACAATCTCCTATTCTGGAAGCTTTTTTCGACTGCTGGCTCGCTGGAAGGGCTCGATTTGGAGGTGTACCTACACGGAATTGATTGTCTATTTGGCTATCTACTATTTAATTAAGTAAATTCAAGGCTATTTAATCACACTAAGGAATTTTTGAGGTTATTTTATTTGTATGGTATTGATGCGATTTATCAGGAATCCCAAAGCGCCGAGGAGGCAAAGTAAGACAAAAGGGAGCAGTAAGAATTTTTCGTTTAGAGCATACTTTCAAACCTGTTCTATGCAATTTGGAACGTACGCGAAGCAACTGCCACTAACGTTTTTGTTGGGTCTATGTTTCGAGTATTGTCACACGGCGAGCACGGTACAGGCGCTGTGATTTAGGAGAGCGTAGAACGTCGTAACGGGTGTGCCCTTTTCTGGGCCGGGTGGTTAGCAAAGACCCTTTGGGATATCGAATTTACGAAAACTTATAGCGGGCGAACTAGCAGATATTCTTTGGGCACCAAGGAACTCTGAATTTCAGATGGTGGAACCAATTCAAATGCCTTGATTGGCCAGAGAATCTACTATCTGTATTGTGCATGATGATCCCGGGGAACGATGAGAAGAGCCTGAAGCGTCGCCACAAAATTGCCCGATACCTCAACTTGAGCTCGGCGTTGGCTTCGTAAGCTTCGGAAAGGTTTTAATGATAATCTCCTCAAAATTCAGGCGCGAGCTGTCGATCCAACTGCGTGCAAAGTATCCTAACGTCCACGACCTCGTCGATGGGGGCCTAATGACGGAAAATGAGTTCGAAGCCTTGGAGGAGGTTCAGGTAATTCTATTTCCACGTTATCCTTTCAAAGCTGTCGCATGTTCCAGGCAGGTTGCCCTTCCGTACGCTGGATGGCGCCATTACACTGGGTCCAGCTGATTTTACAGGAACAAATGGCTGTAATCCATACTTTGAAGATTTTTATTTCGCTTTAGGAAGATGAAAAGGGCAGTTCAAACTATATGAAAGCTATTATTGGAGGTAAAATCTTTGGAAATCGATGACTTTTTGCCATTTTTAGAGCTAATGTCATTCCGCGAATCGTTTCGAGAACTTTTCTGCTACGATTGGGTGTGTATGCCGCTAGTTTACACTCAGGTAATAAAAAACTTCTACTTTTTCATGATGCAAGCCAAGGTAGCTGCTCTAGCCACCTATTCTTTCTTCATATTCTGTTTATTTGGGCGTCAGTTTACTGGAGAAGGAGTAGGGACTAAGGTAACCAAGTTGTGATGACATTTTAGGATGATTTATTCTTTCCAATATTTTTGACGGCCGAATTCTTGTTTTTTGTTGGATAAAAGTAGGTCTTGCATTTTCTAGTTTGTCTCGTGGTTCAAAACCTCATTGAGCTATTATAAAGTGCTGGAAAAGCTTCTTCAGGTCGGCCGCGAACTCATGAGGCCTTTTGGTCGCGGCGATGATGACATTGAACTTCACTGGATTTTGGATCGAAATATTGCCGTTTCATTCGCCATCGTACACAAGCTACAAGGCGCTGGATTACGTAAGCTTACCTACAGCGTTTTTCTCAAGCATAGCCGATTTTCACGAGCTTTATTGCAGCCAAGGAAGGCCAAGACGACATTTTTTGGCAGCGGCGCACCGAGAAAATCGAAGTGCCAATCACTGGACAAAACGAGACAATAAAACCGCATAAGCCGAAGCTACACGCTTATTTAAGGTCTACCCAAGGTAGCTTGCGGAACAAGATATTTCAGGATCCCTCCCCATGGCCACCACGAACACGACTCTTCACCAGATCGGGATTCTCACCGGTAATCTGTTTGTGCATTTTGAAAAAGGGTTCTTTTTTAGACGCCTGAACTGGTAGACGATCGAGACAATGATCCTGACACTTTTGCAAAACAACATGCAAACTAAATTACATTAGTTGCAATAAAGAATGTCCTGGCTAATGGCATTCCACAGCGCTGACAAACGCCAGTTACAACAAAAAACCATTCATGGCAACATTTCGCGGAGGACGGAATTTTACATTCCTGGCGCCTTCTTCTAGCTGAAGTATCGCAAGAAAAACTATACTAGTAGAGTTTCTTTTCTATGGGCAATACCCGTATATACTCGAGTTGTTTACGCGCGGTCCGCTGTGATCATATTGGGATGATAAGTTGCCGGAAAAGTGAAATCATGCGCGGATAAGTCGAGATCAATCTGTTGTTGATTCCCATCAGTTACATATCGATACTTTTACTCAGTGGCTCTGGTTTCTTTTCTAATTATATTGATTTTAACGATGCTCGCAAAGTAAACCAAGATTTTTATCAAATCGTAAAAGATTCTGGCCATTTTTAGCAATGACTATCTCCTATTCTGGCGGCTTTTTTCGACTTCTCGCTCGCTGGGAAGGCTCAATTTGGAGGTCTACCTATAGGGAATTAATCGCATATATAATTTTCTACTACCTGATCAAGTAATTCCAAAGCTCTTGGTAATCCACCAAAATTTTTAGAATTTTTTACCTTTATGGCATCGACGCAATTTATGAAGATTCATCAAAAGCCAAATGGCTAAGGTATCACAAACAGAATGTTTTTGATCCAGTTTGTTTTAGAAACTATTTTCAAGCATGCTGCCTACAATTTGGGAGTTATGCCAAGCAGTTGCCATTGACGTTTTTGCTTGGTTTTTATGTATCGAGTGTTGTGGCACGGTAGGTTAATTAGAGCAGTTACGATCCAACGTAGACAGGCTAATCCTTAAAGGTACACTAAAGTCTCGTTGGTTTGGTTACCGGCCGGTAACCGTCGGCTGGATAGCAAACAGGGGTTACGGTAGGCGCTCGCCGCGGAGCAAAACCAACCCGAACTGCCAGCTTGGGGCAGCGCCCTGGACCACTAGGCCAAGGGAGAGACGGGAGGGGGGAAGGGCGAGAGGCAATAGGGCGTCCGGTCACCACCCCGAAAAGTAGTCACTACCCCGAAAAGTCACTACCCCGAAATCGTTTACCCCGAAAAATGATAACATTGTTTTCCCGGAAAATCCAGTTTTCATGCGATTTTCCTATGAAAATCATGCAAATTATTTCGGGGTAGTGATTTTTCGGGGTAGTGACTTTTCGGGGTAGTG